ACCCTTGCCGCCCGATGTTTGATTTTTGCTGACATGCTCTCTTAATGCTTATTATTTGACTAAGCGCATTCTGTTTTGCTTAAATAGAATTTGTCAGGTGGGCATGTGCTCAAACCTGGACAGGACTAAAAGTTGGACTGGACTTTTGACTGGACTTTTTTTGGTCTTGTCCAAGGTCCAGTCCAGGTWTGAGCACACCCCTCAGGTGTGATTGAGTTTTACTCTTGAGTTTAACGTTCAGCTGATAAGTATCTTCTTTCACCGACAAACGCAACACTGACTGGTCGAGCATAAGTCTAGGGTATAAAAGGGGGAGGTTGTGAAGGGAAAAACAATGATAGTAATCCWCTGGGATCCCATTCGCTAGCTAGATATCTTATAAGGTACATAGCGTTGAAGCCCATTAAAAATAATTCTCTTCCAAGCTTAGTGCTTGGTTTTAAACTTATTTTCCTCCATGCACTTGATTTTTATCGTCTAAATTTAGAATCGATAATGTCCGTCTATTATGGGGAAATCAGGTTATCACGTGATCGGGAAATTAATAGTCCTGTAGCGCCTAAATTGAGCTTAAATCTTTGGGTGGTCTACGTGTGCATCAGAGCAGGGTGTCAACCAACCCAGCTGATCTGAGAATTTTTATTCCTCTTGAAATTATGGATTTCCGTGTCACTAAATGAATAACGTTAATATGCGCTTGATAATAGTGTCACACTAATTTATGAGTTTTATCGTTTTAATGGATGATGGGCGTGTTTTTAGTTTTCGCTTGTCATTTTTTCGCAGGCTCCATGCATGAAACCTCCTTTTTGCAGCGACGTCATTCTACATCACTATGTTATGAGCTGGACGTGAATGGGAAATCCTTTATGAATTTCAGTCTGTGAATCTAGGTGCTTGTAACATCACAGCTAAGAGCGTAACAATGATCGTAGCAAGGTATATTAATGCGAAGACGCGATTGAGTATGACGGATGAAATTCTCCATTCTTCTTGAATTCCTTCAGCGTCCTCTTTTCTTAGAATACTATCCGTCACGATGTTGATCTTGTTCGTGGTAGGGGTACTGTCATCTAGGTTGTCGCGCAGTTTTGCTTGAAATTACAACAGCAAAATTAGTTGATGTTTTTATATCTTTAAATAGGGTGATTAATAGGACAAGACATGCAGAGGGCCGTTGATAATAGCCTTTGTGATCTCACTCTGATTAAGTCCCGCTTGCATAAAGCTCAAGATAAGGAAGCTTTATGCAACCAGGGTCTGGACGTCAATGCCAAGAAGCATGCGACTATGGGTGGCCAAAGATGTGCCCTAGCTGGTTGGAACTCTCCTATTACCAACTATTACTTCCCTTCCTTTTCCCTCTAAGGGATACACCAGCAATTTGAAGAAAACTAAAGAGTACAGGATTGCGATGAATTTTATTTGTCGCTATAAGTAGAGGAAGGCCCTTGCTTCGTGCAATAAATAAACTTGTGCGCAGAGTGGTAATACGAGCGACATTCACTCGGCGACTTGCAACAATGTTCCTCGACAAAATTCAATATTTTATCGCCCGCATAAACTTTAAACATTCTAAATACTGCGCATATCATTATAAAAAAAGAATATTTGTTTATATTTGCGCAGTATTTAGAATGGACCTTCTTATTAAGTTCTCTATTGCGCAGAGTTAGCTTCGATTTTGTGTAGAATATTCATGTGTTCCAGTGGAGGTCCGTTAAATTTCAACGTATATTGTTGAAGCTGGGCATTCTTATCTTTATAGTTGATATTTGTGAATATTTAGACAGTGCTAACCCTGAGTAAATGGGTCTGTAATCAAGGGGTTCTAGGAAGGTCTATTCTGAAGGCACTTCTTGCCTACCTTGTTGCAAGCCTTGAATGACAAGCCCTTGTTTCATACGATCAGCGGCTTCTTTGAGCCCAACGATCCTTGCGCAGTAGTTCAAAATGAATACCTACAGCAAAACAGGATTTACTAGTATACAACAGATTTTCTTTGGTTATCCAATGTGGCCTGTTTACTCTCGACTCCAGAGCCCTTTCACCCTTACTGCGCATGCTCAACACATGCGCAGTATGAATTAGAGAGCTCTAGGGTCGAGGTGTACGGTACGTGGCTATAACCCCTGGCTAGTTTGCTTACCTTTGCCCAAATTGGTAGAGTCGCTGAGGAATTTTCAGGATAGTATATTCTCATCAACAAACACGCTACAAACATGGCCAGCGATACTTCTATGATAGTGCATGCGTAGTAGACTCCAAGTAAGGGAATGGCATTGGATGTTGGGGGAAGCTTATCCTGTGGGACAAATAATGTAATAATTCAGTTCACTTGTAAAATGAATGAAAGGCGAGAATAGATCTTTCATGACAGCCATATTGTAGTGCAATGCTTTTGCATAACGAGATTTCCTTTTCAGGATAGAAATTTTTTTAAATTTTTAACCCGACTTACAAAATGGCTGCCGCCAAGAAGACAGAGATACGCTCGCGCAAAATTGTTCAAAAATATTTTCTAAAACTAATATAAGACGCGCGCGCATGTCTCTACATTGTGACATTAATACTCTGAAAGCTTTAGAGCATACGAAAAGCAAGGGAAATACTCGATTATGCCTCGTGTTTCTGAACCTGCTTCTCTCGTGCTCTACAGCTCCCTGCGTGTTTATATCAAAGTACAGAGCTATGCGCGCGCGTTTTATATTCCTTAAAAAGAGAGAAGACTCCTTGCTTGTGCTATGTTGAGTTATACAAGCACTTGGGAAATTGCGTGAGCCCTCGAGAAGTGCCGTTCTCCTAGCACTTCTCTCTGACTCACGCAATTTCCCGCGTGCTTGTATAACTCGACATAGCACAAGCAAGGAGTTTTCTCTCTCTTCAATAGCAAACATCTTACCATAAGCATGAGTATTAATATTGTGAAAGAGAGCAAAACCGTCACCCCAAAAGACATTCTTTCTCCAGACTCCGGCGGCAGAAGAAAAACGAGGAGTGTTAGGACGGCAATAAGTATACAAGGAAGAATGAAGTTCATAATGTAATAGAGGGTGCGTCGGCGAAGATGTATCTTGTAGGCGACTTCTGGGTACCAACCATCACAGCAGTCGTATTGTTTCACTAGACGCACCGGTTTAGAACTTAGTAGAATCCATTCTCCATTTTCTTCATAGCTGTAGAAACAAACCATCGTTAATAGAGTGCAAATAATATACCCGTGAAATAGTTAGGATAAAATAGGAGATAGTTAGCGCTTAATTAAACAAAACATAGAAATTCAGTGAGGCATGACAAGGGAACGGGCGTTTACTAGAGTAACAACTCGATACGCGAATGAATAGATACAACAGTGCAAATAATATACCCGTGAAATAGTTAGGATAAAATAGGAGATAGTTAGCGCTTAATTAAACAAAACATAGAAATTCAGTGAGGCATGACAAGGGAACGGGCGTTTACTAGAGTAACAACTCGATACGCGAATGAATAGATACAACAGTGCAAACGTGTCAAATTATACGTAGGAAAAGCATGTACAACAAAATATTGTTTCAGTTTTTGTAGGTGTGTTTAAAAATATTTTAAAATGCGCTTCCTCGAGTAGCACACGTGCACACTATTTTAACTAATTAGACTTTGGCAACCAAAGGTTAGTAATTAGTTAGCTAGCTATCTATTTCACGGGTATATTATTTGCACTCTATAATGTTCTCTCTCCGACTAAAAGTAAGAGACGCAAAGTTGGTAACCGACTTAGAAGACATACCCCAACGATTAGCCTGGTGCGTAAGGTATATGGGTTGAACCTCACCACACCTTTATTTCCTCCAATCACCGTCAGCCAAGATAGGATTAGCTCTCACTTATTCCACTCAGTTTCTACTTACTGTGAAAGATCCGCAGAATCCCCAGCAGCGATGAAATCCACATACGATGTAGTAAAAGACCACGAACCAAACCTTATTTCACACACCTGATCGTCAAAAGGGAAATGTACGATGTCGATAGTGCATGAGCTTTGTATGACAGCAGGATTGAGCCAAGATATATTTCCATTGTGCTGGACCACTAAGTCCGATCCCTCTCCGTTCGCTTCCATATTTGCAGTTGCGCTGTGAACAAACAACGACTTGAAAACTTGGAAGTTCGGTATCATGCGGCAGTATTGTTTATGCTCATTATAATAGTACCTTGTTAATGTTTGCGTAAACTCATCCTGAAGCGCTTGAATGCGGGGGAATCTAGTGTTAACACCAAAGTTTCTTCGCTATGAGAAACGTTTTTATTGAAAATCTATTAACAGGTTGTTGGTTTTTTTTTTTTTAGCTTAAAAATTTATATCCATCGATAAAATCCTAGAAAGTAGAACAAAAAGTCCATTGGAAAATGTTTAGTTTTTTTTCATTCTGTTTGGTGATRATCATCAAGGGAAATAGGTCCAGGAAATAGTAGCAAAGCGGGCTGGTCATCAGAAGGGAAATATACGGTAATTGAAGCAACGCAACGGCTTGTATAGGTTTGAGCGAGTCAATAGGATCATAACATCCATATTTGTACTATCCTTCACATTCTTGTATAGTTACCTGTTTAGGAGATATATTTCGGGTAGCCATAGCCTGTTTTGTTCTAGTATAATGCTATCGAGACCGCTGTACTCAGTCTTGTTCCAAACTAGACGTGGGTCGTTCCAGTACTGATGGAAAAATCGATTAGCGAAAAGAATCAATCTCGTACCCAGAGCCCTTATAACTTCTGCGCATGTTCGACAAAATAATTAGTTGAGCATGAGCAGTAAGAAATAAGGGACAGGTCGACATTGGAAAAGAATGATCACAAAAAAATTGGCTACGTTTTTGGTGTTCTAGTGGGATTTTTGCTGTGCTGAAAAAATGTTAGGAAATTCGTTACCACCGAGTGCAAGTTTTCATAGGTTTAGAGCTTGRCCAATAAGAATCATTAGACAGTTGTTAGAATCTCCAATTGGTTACCTGTTTGACCCAGACATTGGTTGTTAGAACTTCGCTCTTTTCGTTCTGGAAAAAAGTGAAAAAGGGGGAATAATGGATATGGAAATATATTTTATGACACTTTGTTTTAAGATACTTCTTACCATCCTACACTTGTAACACTTGTGTACAATTCACTCATTATAGACTCCTTTTAGGGATATTTTGGATCCGAAATTAATTGAAAACAACAAAAATATTCAAATTCTGTCAAAAAAAAAAAAAATTTCTTATTCAATATTTTTCTGTTATCCTCGCACCAAGAAGAATAATGTTGAAAGGAGCCATTTACTGCATGAATAAATAGTGTTAGGAGRAGCACGTGCAGCGGTGTGATTCTCAGTACACTTGCACGAGTGTTCTGCCAAGTGTTTTATAATAGTGTACACAGCACAGCATAGCAAGCTGCGTTTATTTTTTTATAAAAGTACAAATTAGAGCAGCCATTTGTTCAGGAACGAATGTCGAAATAGAAAGTGTGAGCRCGTGCTGTGTTCTCTCATAACGCAGACGATTGCAGGTAGATTGATGATATTTAGTTTATAAGATACATCAATAGATTTTATGACATCCTGATAAACTTACCACCTTCATGACATGACGTAACGCTAAGTCAAAGGTAACGTTTACTACGTCACCGTCACGTAAAACTGGGCGAGCCTTGGGGTTGTATCCGTTAAATAATTTTTCAGTTAGTTTGTCTATCTGACTGCTTGTACAATCTACGGAAAATAAACAAAATTAAGGATTCTTGAAACCATATACCTTACAGGGATAATCCAAGCAATGGAAACTGGGCTAACGAGTAATATAATGTCAAAAACTTCACAATTTGTATATGGCAGGAATTGGTTGGTTGGTGAGGAATTCGTAAGAGAACTCAAGTCGATATCTATTACCTTACAAACTAAAACAAGAAAAGGAAATTAAAAAAGAAAACGATGCTCATGAAAAGTCAAACTTGATAAATGACGAATAAAACAATTGGATAGACTTAACACTAAATTTCATTTTTTGAGAGCATTTTAAATTAACACTTCCCGAAGTTCTTGTTTTGTTGAGAGCATTTCTCATTTATTGAATGCGCATCTCTACTTACCATGTATCCACACTTGTAGCACAAGTAGCTCTAACAATAAAACTCTTGGAGAATAATCGACCATCATTTTCAAGTTCACCATTTCTGATATTTTTAGAGAGCTAAATTAATTTGGTAAGTGTTTCGTTAGCTTTAGGTTAAATAGTTTGAAGTTAATAGTAGGCAAATATAGGTATTTTTGAGTATTTGTTTTGCGATAACAAAAAGGGTTGTTATTGGCAATGACAGGTGCCCAGTGTTATCCAATCATTTGGCAGGGGTTACACGAAGAAAGACAATAAGAATGTCTTTCACACGTCCAAACCGAAATTATCAAGTTCAAATTGACGGACACCGATTTCAGTTGTCTGATATATTGGCTATCATAGAGAAAGGGGAAAAAAAAGGCAAAACAAACAATTAATTAGAAAATGAAAAAGAGTAAAAAGGAAAAAAGATGAGGACTGGAGGAAGCAGAGGGAATGTAGGAAAGTATATTGAAGCAAAAAAATAAATAATAAATAATAAATAAATAAAAGAAAGAAAGAAAGAAAGAAAGAAAGAAAGATTAAAATGCTCTATATTCCTCTATGAAAAACCTTGACAGACACTTTACAGCAAAAATAAAAACAAACTCTTATTCCCATTTTCAATGGGGTAGAAAAGACAGGAGAACGAAAGATATTTTGGTTTTGTTTATTGATTTGGCATCTTTACATGAATAAACAACCCGTATGGTAGTACCTCTTGAGGGAGGGAGGATTTGTTGAAGGTTTATTTTCTTCTAGAACGAGCTAAGTTAAGCCGAATTAATCACAAAAAAACAAGATACACATACCTAATAAAATATGCATTGAAGATGATATGTTGTAGTGAAGGCATTAATTTTTAAACAGATAAAAATATTTCTGAGAATGCAATGTAGTCATACCATTGGCGTTGTATATCCGGGCTTCCTAAAGTCAATCTATCAAGATGAGTGTATTCATTGATGTCACAACTAAGTTCGTATGAATTACTAATTACCTTAATCTATGTAACACACAAAGAAAGTTTTAAGCGCGCGCGTAATAAGTCTATGCGCTACTCTGTACTGTGATATAAAACATGCTGGCAGATAGCTTTAGAGTAATAGAGAAGCACGGGTTAGAAACCCCAGGCGTATCCCTTTTTGAGTTCAAGCTGAATTTGGTTTTCAAGTTGTTAAAGGAAAAAAATAGGACAAAAAATGAATGAATAAATGAGATAGCGAATAGAAATAAAATAATAGATCTCATCCACTGTTTTCTCATTTCTGATAAACCACTTGTCATTCCCTAGAGTATCACTTTTTTGTTTAACGACTGTGCTCGAAAGAGACAGATAAATATAGATAGAACTCAAACAACTGAAAGAATCTTGTTSTTAAGAGAATAATATGGATCTGAAATGGAGAAATTATGCCTAAGTGGCTTGGAACCATTAATAACACTCAATTTTTAAAAGCACCCTAAAAAATTGATATTTCATTGAAGTCACTGGTATGAATACTGGCAGTATGCCATTACTTCAGGGATGGTCGGCACAGGTTTTCATATTTCAAAACAGCTCGTAGGGTAGGTCAGTACAAGGTTTATAAGTAGTCAATTTGGAAATACATTGAGCAAAAATGGAAACGTATAATTTACCCTTTCCAGCCAMGGTAGGAGGGTGGGGTGGGGGATGAAATAGTCTTGGACTTGGATCTGAATCAAATTTTTTTCTTCTACAGTGGTGCGTCAAGATATATAAGACTCAAGATCCCTAAATGAACTTCATCATCATCCATTGTCAAAAGTACTACCTTTGGCCAGAAAGAACGGTTGACTGTAAGAGCAATGCAAATGGTTTAAGAAAGCTGTACATCAACAGGTAATTTTTACTTGTCTAGCTTTTATCATGAATCGACCACCAAGCCCACTCCTCGGGAAACCAAGGGTAAAATCTTAAAATCTGTCGTTAGTTTCTCGCTACCATTTTTGTTTTGTTTTGTTTTGTTTTGTTTTTTGTTTTTTGTTTTTTTTTTGCTAACGCGAAACGAGTGACAGAATTTGACCCCTGGGTTAACGAGGATGACAGCGGCCCATGCACTGATCTAGTCATTCATTGCGTTAATGATAAGACGATTAGTTTTTCGTTTCTTTTCAACGTCATGACATTTCATTTTGAAATAATCTCCAAAGTGATAGAAAGAGTTGCTGCCATAAATTCGAATCATATGAAAGAAACAAGATAAATTAGAACCCAGCTATGACTTGTATTCAAAAAAAAAAGTGTTTCACGTTCCACTTTAGTTTATTTCCCTCCTCACGGGAAGAAAACACGTTTTACCAGCTGCTTCCGTCAATGTATTTACATCAACAACCGTACTCACGAGAATTGACTATAAAGCTAATAGGAGTTTTAAAAGAGTTTTTACATCCTTATACAATAAACTGTCAAATTGCGCGTGCAAGTAATTGCGTCCAACGACGTGTCGTAGATATGGCTTGACATTCATAAAACAAAAGGCTTCGAATTTTCCAGTGTTTGTTGTTGCCTGCACTGAGTACTTACGTGGTCGGAGAACGACACAAGAATACTGAGCCTACTAGGGATTCTATTTACAACAAGCTATCGAGCATGTCAGTAGGCCAGATTCAGCCTTGTGACTGCCGACGAGGTTCATACATCAAGTGAGCTACCTGCTGTAAGGTAATAAACATACGATCATTTTACAGTCTGTTTCAAAAGYAAACAAATAATCAAGCAATAAAAATATAGGATACATTTTTGKTCGACTATATCTTATAACCAAAATCAATTTTAGTACGTCCTGGGAATCCCGTTTTCTACATCGTCGGAAACCCAGGGGTAATAAAATATATTCTGTCGCTAGTTTCTCGCTCCACAATACTTTATCTCTAGGTTCCTGAGGATATCAAAATAGAGTTTTTGTTCAAAAAAATTATAACTCCGCGGAAGCGAACTCGTGTTGGCAGAACGAGACGAGACGCAAGTTCTTCCAACCTGCTACCGCTTGCGACGCTTCAAAATTTCTCGCAAGTCGAAGCCTTTGTTAAGCGAACTCATTGGCGTAAATATATATTCTAACGACTGATAAACTAGCTAGAATTCAGTAACGTAAGCTTATGTAAGCTTGTGGTTTTCTTTCAAGCTTTAGGTAGGTACAAAAGAATCGTCAAGTAGCCATTAAACCACCATGCAGACAGTTATTAACATCATGAGTTGGTTTTATATTCATATTATCTGGGACTAAAAATGCTTTAGACTAGAATTTATTGGCAAATTATTAAGCAAGCAAAAGTCGCTATATATATTGAGATATCAGAAGGACGATATATCACTATTAGTTAAGTTAGCTAAGATCGTGTGCCGTGTGAGTGTGCATGAATGTACGTTGCGTGACGTGAAGATCGTGACGTGAAGATCATGAGAACCTTTAACGATATGGCGTAGTTCGACATTAGTGTATACCATAATGCGCATCGGTTTCAACGCTTTCATATGCGTCTTAGCTCTGTTTGTTTAAAGTAATTATCTCTCATCTGCACGATATGCACTAAGGGATTATTAATTACTATTTCACAACTTTTTCTTAAAACTCATTAGGTTTAATATATTTATAAAGTCGTAATAGCTTTAGCCTATCCGAACCGAACCCCGCAGGACGTCTGCAACGGAGGCTAGTAATAGCTTATAGTTGGTAACTATTAACGAATACCAAGTGTAATTTACTGACTATCATTAGGTACACGATGTCGACATCATTCGTTGATCAAAAACCAAGAATTAGAACTCTCGAACCGAAACGTTCCGACTTCACTATGGAAAGTGTAAGTTCCTTTATGTGACATATGGCTGTACACGCACATACAATAGCTGGATCGGATGTTAATCTATATTTGCAGAATTTATTAGGTTTGATTCCTAGATTCCTTTTTGGTATATAATTAGTATAAACTAGTAGTTGACTAAGGTGGAAAACTAGTGAAAACTAGTGTAAACTGCGTCGGTGTTTTCAGTAAAACAGTTGATAGATAGATAATTTGTAACACCGTATGGTATGTAAAAATGAAACTGACGTTTCGGACGTTAGTCCTTCATCGGAGTAAACCATCGTTTACTCCGATGAAGGACTAACGTCCGAAACGTCAGTTTCATTTTYACATACCCTACGGTGTTACAAATTATCTATCTATCAACTAGTAGTTGACTACTTCGGTGTACTTTGAGAAGACAGTCAAGATGACATTACTACATAACCAGTGCCTGTTAAATCGTATAGAGCACTCGATCAGCGTTGGCTCAAACTCAACCATGAAGTAATATTATGCACATACTTTTTCGGGTTATAATTCAGTCCTCCGAACCTTGAGTTTGCACATGCAGAATAAACATCTTCAGCTCGGGAGTATTTCGTTCCCCYTTTTTTCATACCACTTGTCATTCTCTAGAGTATCATTTCTTTGTTTAATAGTTGCGCATCAGACTGAGACTCATGAATATAAATACAACTCAAACAAAGAATCTTATTCTCCAGGGAATGACACGTTGCCCTTGGATATTGATAATTCATGTATTGATCTCCGTGTATCAAAGCATCAAATCTTAAAGATTTCTATTACATATATGTTTTGCTTAAATTTTGAAATATTTAAGTTGTGCATGCTTCATGCCATGAAAACATTATGAAAACATTTTGCCCTTGGACATTGATAATTTACGTATCGATCTCCGTGTATCAAAGCATCAAATCTTATATATATGTTTTGCTTAACTTTTGAAATATTTGAGTTGTACATGACTTCATGCCATGCTAGTTAATCTATARCCGAAGGCATGTTAGTAGCTAATAGATTACAGTGCATTGATATTTTATTGCTAGAGGCGACCTTCATTCCTTACAATTGTATCATAACTCGTAAGTATCAGCTT